TTATTATTATTATTTTCCAGTTTGATCAGAGAGAGAGGAAAAGTGAGAAAGCAAGCCACCAGGTCCAGGACTTGAACCGCGGTCAGCCATGTGGGAGTCCAACACCTTTAACCACCACGCCATGTGCTGGCCCCTGTTTATTCATTTTTTAAAGATTTGCCAGAGGGCATATACACTTGCTGGAGGGCGGGGGAGGAATGTGAGAAAGCACTCCCCATGGGGAATGGTCATATTGCAACCTTTTCTCCTCCATTTCTCCCTCCTCTAGGGATTTTGGGCATGCCAGGGGTGTTTGTCATGCCGCTGGTTCTGAACTGGAACCATATGCAGGCTAGGTGGGATCCAGCTGCCTTAATCATTACACTAGGGCCAGCCCATCCATTTTCTTCAGGTATGCTTTGCTCAGTCCTATTAACAATCCCACAAGGAAAGAACTGTAATATTCCCAGCTTGGAATCCAGGACACTGAGTCATTTACCCAAGCTACATGTGTAGTTAACTAGTAGAGCTGTTTGATTTTTTTTGTCTTTGGAGGCTTTTGGTGCCTCAGAACAAAATGAAGATCTTACCCCACAATAACCACCACCATCACACATCCAGGCATACCCTATGAGGTATCAGTGATTGGGTGTAGCTTCTGTGCAGTTTCCTTCTCTAACACTTCCATTTTCTGTACATACTTTGAGTTTACTCAGCTGCCGTGATTAGTGAAGAAGAGGAAGCAGGTGGGTAGGAAAATTGGCCCTTGAATTTAGGAAAATGAGACATGGGCCATACTTTTTCTAAAACTCCCTCTCATAGTGTAGGTGGCACAGGGATCAACTGAAAATAGTAACTAGAAGAATGTGGAGGTTTCTGGGCCAGTCCTGTAGCATAGTGGCTAAGGACTCTGCACAGGGAGATTGATCCCACGTGGCCAGTAGTGGTTCAATCCCAGCCCCATTAGCTTGAAAGACGTACCGAGCACATATCCTTGTGTGCCCAAATTCCTGATGAGATGGAGAAATGAAGCAAAAAGGATTGTGGTGTGACCACATCCCATTGTCAGTCTCTCTCTCTCTCTCTCTCTCTCTCTCTCTCTCTCTCTCTCTGACAAACACTTATATCCTCTGGCTAGTAAAAAAAAAAAAAAAGAATGTGGAGGTTTCTAATAGTTGTATGTGGCAAATGAGAGAGAAGTGTTTAGCCAGGCATGGTTACTCCTGTTGGCATCCAAGATGGAATGTTAATTAGGAAAACAGAAGTGGTAATACAGCTGAAAAGTCAGACAATCCCCAGCACTTTTGTATTTAGTTTTGGAATGCAACCTGGTAGACCCACACTTGGCCTGAGAGATTCTTTATCTGTAAGTTGATCCCCAAGGAGGTCCATGCGTCAAAGGGTAAGTAACCACTACATTCCTAATTCATGCCAGGATTCTTTTTTTCCTACCCAGCTTTTCCATTAGTGGCTAAAGATTCCCCACTGTATGAACACTGCACTAATTTGGTGCCCCTTCAATTTAATTTAACAGTTTTTCCGGGGAAAAGAAAAGCACCATATTACATATGTTATACATGCTGGGTATTAACTGTCTCCTGATGTTAGAACAGGAAGTCATGAAAAAAATGTGGAAACAGTATGGTATCTCCTTTCTGTGGTCAACAGCTGTGCAAGAGAGGCAGGAATGAAAAGGGAATACTAAGGAACATATTGGGAGGCCTGAAGGAGTCTAGTTATTTCAGCTCTGCCTAACTGCTGGGCCAGGATTCTGTTTTTGGTATGTGATTATCACATGGCTGCATAGTCCCTAACTTCCCCCTTTCCACCCTGCAGATGTCAAAGCAGTTGGACATGTTCAAGACCAACCTGGAAGAATTTGCCAGCAAGCACAAGCAGGAGATTCGGAAGAATCCTGAGTTCCGAGTGCAGTTCCAGGACATGTGTGCAACCATTGGGGTGGATCCTCTGGCCTGTAAGGAGTTGTCTCGGGGTTCTGTGTGTGCATAGGACTCCTAAGGGATAGACGCTCACCTAGTTTTCATCACCGCTGTTGAGTAGTCCTCTAGAAGGACTTGCGAGGATATCAGATGCTGTCATCTTTAGGGAGTGCCTTGCAGGATGGCTAGTGCCCAGGTGGATAGGGAAGGTGCAGGGGCTGAGTGCAGGCCAAGTAGCCTCATCTTCTCGGATGATCTACAGTGGAATTGTTTATGGCATTTGGCCCCTTTTTTAAACATTTAACTTGAGGGCCAGTAGATAGTGTGGTGGTTAAGGTGCTGGACTGCTGTATAGCTGACTACAGTTCAAGTCCCAGACCTGGCGGCTTGAAGTGGAAGAATAATAACAAATAAAATAAATAATTAAAAAAATATATTTATTTAATTTAGATAAAGTAGTATGTAATCAAGTCAGCTCTGTAGCCTAGTGTTTAAGGGGTTTCTAATAGTTGTATGTGGCAAATGAGAGAGAAGTGTTTAGCCAGGCATGGTTACTCCTGTTGGCATCCAAGATGGAATGTTAATTAGGAAAACAGAAGTGGTAATACAGCTGAAAAGTCAGACAATCCCCAGCACTTTTGTATTTAGTTTTGGAATGCAACCTGGTAGACCCACACTTGGCCTGAGAGATTCTTTATCTGTAAGTTGATCCCCAAGGAGGTCCATGCGTCAAAGGGTAAGTAACCACTACATTCCTAATTCATGCCAGGATTCTTTTTTTCCTACCCAGCTTTTCCATTAGTGGCTAAAGATTCCCCACTGTATGAACACTGCACTAATTTGGTGCCCCTTCAATTTAATTTAACAGTTTTTCCGGGGAAAAGAAAAGCACCATATTACATATGTTATACATGCTGGGTATTAACTGTCTCCTGATGTTAGAACAGGAAGTCATGAAAAAAATGTGGAAACAGTATGGTATCTCCTTTCTGTGGTCAACAGCTGTGCAAGAGAGGCAGGAATGAAAAGGGAATACTAAGGAACATATTGGGAGGCCTGAAGGAGTCTAGTTATTTCAGCTCTGCCTAACTGCTGGGCCAGGATTCTGTTTTTGGTATGTGATTATCACATGGCTGCATAGTCCCTAACTTCCCCCTTTCCACCCTGCAGATGTCAAAGCAGTTGGACATGTTCAAGACCAACCTGGAAGAATTTGCCAGCAAGCACAAGCAGGAGATTCGGAAGAATCCTGAGTTCCGAGTGCAGTTCCAGGACATGTGTGCAACCATTGGGGTGGATCCTCTGGCCTGTAAGGAGTTGTCTCGGGGTTCTGTGTGTGCATAGGACTCCTAAGGGATAGACGCTCACCTAGTTTTCATCACCGCTGTTGAGTAGTCCTCTAGAAGGACTTGCGAGGATATCAGATGCTGTCATCTTTAGGGAGTGCCTTGCAGGATGGCTAGTGCCCAGGTGGATAGGGAAGGTGCAGGGGCTGAGTGCAGGCCAAGTAGCCTCATCTTCTCGGATGATCTACAGTGGAATTGTTTATGGCATTTGGCCCCTTTTTTAAACATTTAACTTGAGGGCCAGTAGATAGTGTGGTGGTTAAGGTGCTGGACTGCTGTATAGCTGACTACAGTTCAAGTCCCAGACCTGGCGGCTTGAAGTGGAAGAATAATAACAAATAAAATAAATAATTAAAAAAATATATTTATTTAATTTAGATAAAGTAGTATGTAATCAAGTCAGCTCTGTAGCCTAGTGTTTAAGGGACCTGAATCCCATGTGGCCAACTGTGGTTCAAATCCCAGCCTTAGTGGCTTAAAAAACACAGTGGGTGTAGATGTATCCCAAATCCTAATTGGATAGAAAAATGGAGGAGAAGGGATTGTGATGTGACCACTCCTCACCGGGTGATGGTTTCTCCTTTTCTATCCCTCTCTGCTGAGTGCATGTGCCCTCTGACAATTAAAAATGTAGTCTGTGATCATGCAGTCAACCAACAAAGAGCTTTATATAAGAAGGATAAGTCTCTTAATTTTGTCCCATGATTATATCAACAAACTTGGCAGTTTCAGGTATGTCTAAACATTCATATTTATAGTTTTTTAAACATGTGTGAGTATGCTATCATTATTACTCTATAACCTATATTTTTCACTGAGTAGAATATTGTCTTTTTTTTTTTTTTGCCAGCAGGTACATGTGCTTGCCAGACAGAGGGAGAGAGACAAAGCATGCCCTAATGGGGGCTGGTAACACTGCATTCCTGTCTTGATTTCTTCATCCTGTTGGGATTTGGGGCATGTGTGCATACCTACCTGGTGTGTTTTTCAAGCCCCTGGGGTTGGGATTTGAACCACGCAGTCAGCTATGTGGGATTCTACTCTCTCTCTCTCTCTTTTTTTTTTTTTTTTGAGAGTTTTTATGCTATAGGGTGCATGCACTCGCCAGACAGATAGAGAGAAACAGACAGAAAGCGAGAAATCACCCCCCAGGGGGGATGGCCATGCCGCAATCCCTTCTCCTCCATTCTCCTCTCAGGATCTTGGGCACACACGCACACGCGCCTGGCGTAAGTTTTAAGTCACCAGGTCCGGGACGTGAACCATGCTCGACTACGTGGGAGTCCACCCCTTAGCCATTACGGTAACTGCTGGTCCCTCTTTTTTTTTTTTAATAGTTATTTTTAATTTTTTATTTATTCATTCATTTATTTTAATTTGACCAGAGAGAGAAGGAAATAGAAGGTGAGAAAGCAAGCCACCAGGTCTGGGACTCGGACTGTGGTCGACCATGTGGAAATGTCCAGCGCCTTAACCACCACACCACCTGCTGGTCCCAGGATTCTATTCTCTTTACCAGTAGGCCAGGGAGCCAGCCCTTCAATGATTTTCAAAAAAATCAATCAATCAATCAATTATTGGAGAGGTTTTGCTATAGGGCGCATGTGTGTACCAGAAAGACAGAGAAACAGCCAGCAAGAAATTACCCCCCAGGGGGGATGGCCACACTGCAATCCTTTCTTCATTCTCCTCTCAGGATCCTGGACACACATGCACACGTGCCCGGCATGAGTTTAAGCCACTGGCTCTGGGAAGTGAACTACGGTCAATTACATGGGAGTCCAGCGACATAGCCATTACACCAACTGCTGGTCCCCATCCAGTGGATTTTTGAACATTAAATCTGTATAGTTTTTCTCTTAGCTCTGTCAAAACCATATGTCCTGTTATATTTCAGTCTGTGTTTTGTGAAGGGAGAACTCATTTTTTTTTTTTTTTTGGAGAGATTTTCACCGTAGGGCGCATGCGCTCGCCAGACAGACAGAGAGAGACATAGAGACAGAAAGCGAGAAATCACCCCCCAGGGGGGATGGTCACGCCGCAATCCCTTCTCCTCCATTCTCCTCTCGGGATCTTGGGCACGCACGCACACGCGCCCGGCGTGAGTTTTAAGCCACCGGGTCCGGGACACGAACCGTGGTCGACTACGTGGGAGTCCAGCAACATAGCCATTACGCTAACCGCTGGTTCCCAGAACTCATTATTTTTTTAAGTTTGTTTATTTCTTCCAAGGAATGGAGACAGGTGGATACCTCCAAAATGGTCTTCATTTCATCACCCACCCCTAGCTTCAGCCAGCCTGAACAATGGGCTCATGCATGCATACCTGGTGTGCACAGGAAGGTCCTGGCCTGAACCCTGGCCTGTCCCTTGTGAGTCCAGCATTGTAGTGTGTTGCATTGTTGCTGTAGTGCTGTCTGGCTTTGAGAAAACTAATTTTTACAATATCCTATCTCGAGCAAGAATTAGCAGCCAAGTAAAAATGACTTAGATTGCCACCCTTTGGAACTGTGTGAGCCTGGTGTTGAGCAGGAGTTAACCAAGAGTTTAATTGTTTCAAGGATCCTGAATAGCAAATAAAGCAGAAGGGCTTAGGGCTGTGGCTGGCCCTATAAGGTAGCAGTTAAAAAGAGCTGGATCCCGCCCCCCCTTTCCCCCTGGAACAGCAGATGGTATAATGGTTACATTGCTAGACTACTACATAGCTGACTCTGGTTCAAGTCCCAGACCTGGTGGCTTAAAACTCACACCGGGTGTGTGTGTGTGTGCATACCCAAAATCCCAAGAGGAGAGTGGAGAAGGGATTGCAGCATGGCCATCCCCTCGGGGGGTGTTTTATCATTTTTTGTCTCTCTCTCTCTTTGGCAAGCACACATGCCCTATAACAAAAATCTTTCCAAAAAAATAAATAAAAGAACTGGATCTCACATGACCCACTCTAGTTTGAATTCCATGAAAAGCATGCCATGTGCATGTGTGTGCTTGTTTAAAATCCCAACAGGAAGGAAGAGTGGAGGAAAACAGGATGGCAGCATAACCACTGGGGAGGCTTTGTAGAGAGTGCACATGCCTTCTAGGAACTTTAAAAATACATACATTAATTAGCTGAATAAAACACACATTTAAAAAAAAAAGACTTAGGGCTAGGTAGGGAAGACTGCCCATAGGATGGATGTTATGATCCACCCACCTTTGGAAGAAAAGAGGACCAGTATGTGGCGTGTTGGTTAAGGTGCTGGACTCACACATGGCTGACCGTGCTTTGAGTCCTAGACCCAGCAGCTTGAAAATCATGCTGGGTGCTTGTGCATCCGTGCCAAGATCCCAGGAGGTGAATGAGGAAGAAGGGATTGTAGCATAGCCATCTCCCCAAGGGGATGATTTCTCACTATCCCTCTCTCTCTCTGTCTCTCTCTGTCTCTGGTAAGTGCACACACCCTGTGGCAAAAAACAAAACAAAACAAAACAACAACCACCTAAAAAAAAAAAGACATGAGTTAATGAATAACCTAGTTTTCGTTTTTCTGTCTTATAGCTGGAAAAGGATTTTGGTCTGAGATGCTGGGCGTTGGGGACTTCTATTATGAGTTGGGTGTCCAGATTATCGAAGTGTGCCTGGCCCTGAAGCATCGGAATGGAGGTGAGGGTGGCTAGGTCTTGTAGACTGGGATTTAGGCTTTTCTGGGAGGGAGAAAAAGCTTGAAAGATTGTTTTGGTGTCTTGGAGTTGCAGGACTGCAAGGTCTTTAGGCATATTAGGTGTTTCATGCAGTTGAACCCATGGCTGGCCTCCATGGCCAAGAGTAAACAGAATGGTTATTACTGTTCTCCAGAGATCATTGGCCAGGAAGGTCTAGGGTCTAGTCATTATAGAAAATAGGAGGGAGGTAGGAAATAGGCCTTTTCCTCTGTGTATAATACACATGGGAGACGGTGTTCTCATTAGTAACTGTAGGCCTGTGCTGCCTCTCTAGGGTATGTTAATGCCAACTGAATCTCTGTGCTCCCTAAAACATGATCTTAACTAGAAATGATCAGCTGGGGCCAGCAAGTGGTGTGGTGGTTAAGGTGTTAGATTCCCACATGGCCAATCATGGTTTGAGTCCTAGCCTCTGTGGTCTGAGAATCACACCAGGTATGTGTGCATGCATGCCCAAAATCCTGAGAGGAGGATGGAGGAGAAGGGATTGGCATGGCCATCTCCCTGGGGGTGTGATTTCTCACTTTCCCTCTCAATCAGTTTCTCTCTTTTTCTCGTGCAAGTGCACATGCCCTATGTCAAAAAAAAAAAAAAAATCTGGTAATGCCATCTTTCTAAGGAAGCATATAGAAAAGTCTATGTTGAAGTTAAAAAGAAAACTTTTTCTGAAAACATTTATTTGTTTATTTATCATGATTTTCAAGCCTCACTGTCCAGGACTTGAACTGTGGTCGGACATATGGGAATCCAGTGCGTCATGCCACCTGCTAGCCCTAAGAAAAAGAAAACACTTTTTTCTTTTAGTGGGGAGAGATTTTTTTGCTATAGGGCATTTGCGCTTGCTGGAGAGACAGAGACAGACAGACAGAAAGTAAGAAATCACCCTCCAGGGGTGATGGCCACACCACATTCCTTCTCCATTCTCCTCTTGGGATCTTGGGCCCGCTCGCACACAGCCCAATGTGAGTTTTAAGCCACCAGGTCCGGGACTCGAACTGCGGCTGACTGTGTGGGCCACAGTGATGTAACCATTACGCCATCTGCTGGTCCAGAAAAAGAAAACTTTTAAAATCAATTGTAAATCTTTGGCTTACTTAGACAACCTTGATGTTAAGAGAACTTTATAGTTTTCAGAGATGATGCTGTGGGCTGGACACAGTGTATGCCTGTAACTCTCGCTACTCAAGAGGCTGAGGAGGATCATGAGTTTGGGCAGCACAGGGAGACCCTGTCTAAAAAATTCAATCACAGTGCCTTGTTTTTAGGAGATTTCCACAGGTCTCACTCTGTCGAAGGGCCTGACAAGGTCTCAGAACCTATTGAACTAGAATGCTATTTGCTACTTATAGGCTAGTGGAAAGTAATAACTGTCCATTTGTTTACAGTGGTTGCAGCCATGGTAATTTCTTCATATGCTTTCTGTCCCCCTTTCAATAGGTCTGATAACACTGGAGGAGCTCCATCAACAGGTGCTAAAAGGAAGGGGCAAGTTTGCCCAGGATGTCAGCCAGTAGGTCCTGCCTCCCAGCCCTTAGAGTATAGAAAGAGGTCTTTAAAAATCAGATGGCAAGCCAGCCAGGTGGTGTGGTGGTTAAGGCAGCTGGATCTCACTTGGCCAATTGTGTGTTTCAAGTCCGGGACACAGCGGCTTGATAAACACATTGGGGATGTGTGTGTACATGCCTGAAATCCTGACAAGAGTGGAGAAGGGATTACAGTATGGGCATCCCCTCTGGAGGATGCCTTTTCACTGTCCCTCTCTCTCTCTGGTGAGCAGACATGCCCTATAGCAAACTATTGGAAAAAGAGAGAGAGAGATGGAGGGCCAGCCATTGGTATGATTAAGGCCACAGGATCCCACATGACTGAATGTAGTTGGGGTCCCCAACCTGGGTGCTTAAAGAACACCCCAGACACATGTGCATGTGTGTCCCAAATCCCAACAGTAGGGAGAAATGGAGGAGAAAGGATTGGAACATGACCATCCCTCATGGGGGGTTGTTTCTTATCCCTGTTTTTTCTGTCTCTCACAAGCTCACATGCCCTCTAGCAAGTTAAAGAAATAAAGGAGAGCTTGGCCGCTGTGGTGCGGGAGTGACGCAAGTGTCTTCGAGGCTGTAAACTATGTGACTGACTAAGGATTTGGGTCCCTTGGTTGGCCTGAAAAGATGTGGGGTGTGCAGCTAGAGGGTGGAGGAAGACGGCCGTGATGTGATGAGATTATCGTAAGGGTGCCTTTCTCCTATCTGTCTCGTGTGCACACGTGTGCTCTCATGAATAAAGATTGGGTGGAAGAATCTCATATTTTGTGGGACTCCCTTGGATACACACATAATTAGAACGTTTTTTTCCTCCTGTTAAAAAATCAGAGGGGATGGAGCTGGCTGGTGGCATGGTGGTTAAGGTGCTAGACTCTCACATGGATGACCGTGGTTCAAGTCCTCGACCTGACAGAATGCTTTCTCACTTTCCCTTTCTCTCTGGTGAAATTTGAACAAAAGTAATAATAATAATTTTTTAAAAATCAGAGGAGAGGGACCAGCAAATGGTATAATGGTTATGTTGCTGGACTCCCATGTAGTCGGCCATAGTTGAAGTCCTAGACTTGGCCACTTAAAACTTACGTTAGGTGCATGTATGTAAGTTCCCAAGATCCTGGGAAGAGAAGGGATTGTGGTATGGCCATCACCTCTGGGGAGTGATTTCTTGCTTTCTGTCTTTCTCTCTGGTGAGCCCAGGTGCTCTATAGCAAAGATCTCTTTAAAAGAAAAAAGTCAGAGGAGGGACCAGCAGATGGCATAGCGGTTACATCACTGGATTCCCACATGGCCGACCATGGTTCAAGTTTTAGACCCAGTGGCTTGAAAATCATACTCTGTACTTGCACATGTGTGCCCAGGATCCCGGGAGGGGACTGGAGGAGAAGGGATTGAGGCATGCCCATCTCTCCTGGGGGGTGGTTTCTTACTTTCCCTCTGTCTGTCGAGCATGTACGCACTATAGCAAAAACCTCTCAAAAAAAAAAAATCGGTTGGAGAATACAGAACTGTTTTCTCCCTACTCCTAATATGTCTAAGCTAGCTTTTGATTCTTGTCTGTGATCAGAAAAAAAAAAGTGATTTTTCATTTTAGATAATTAACAATATGAGAAATCATCAAAAGTTCATGAGTGAAACCAGCAGTTGGTGTGATGGCTATTTTGCTGGATTTCCCATGTAGTCGACCGTGATTTGAGTCCCAGACCTGGTGGCTTAAACTCACGCCAGGCCTGCGTGCATGCATGCCCAAGATCCCAAGAAGAAAACGGAGGAGAAAGGATTGCTGTGTGGCCATCCTCCCAGTGGGGTGATTTCTCGCTTTCTGTCTCTGTCTCTGTCTCTTTCTGTCTTTCTGGAGAGCACAAGTGCCCTATAGCAAAAACCGCTCCAAAAAAAAAAGAAAAATTTAAAAAAAGTTCACGAGTAATATGTATTATGAAAACTATGTGCGAATTTCAGATTATTTTGGTACCAAAATATAAAATAAACATACTTTATTTTTCTATGAACTTTTGAAGTTCCTTACCTCACAGGGATAAAAAAGAAAAAAAAAAAGAGCCACTCATTATTTTTCCACGAAGAGATTGCAACTCTTACATATTTTGGTGTAGTTCCTTCTAGTAATTTTCTTTATTTTAATTTTTTTTTTTTTCAATTTACTATAACGCATATGTGCTCAGTGGGGAGAGAGAGAAAGAAAGAAATCACTCCCTGGGGCAGATGGCCATGCCACAATCCCTTCTCCATTCTCTTGGGATTTGGGGTATGCACATGTGCTTCCAGCATGATTTTTATTTATTTATTTATTTATTTTGAGAGGTGGTTGCTATAGGGCCCATGCACTTGACAGAGAGACAGAAAGCGAGAAATCAACCCCCGGGGAGATGGGCCACACTGCAGTCTCTTCTCCATTCTCCTCATGGGATCTTGGGCACCTGCATGCACATGTGCCTGGCCTGAGTTCAAGCCACCAGGTCCGTACTCGAACCACAGTCAACTACATGGGAGTTCAGCGACATAGCCATTATGCCAACTGCTGGTTCCACTTACAGCATTTTTTTTTTTTTTTAAAGAATTTACTTATTATTATTATTGTTAATATTTTTCACATGAGTTTTGCCAGAGAAAGACAGAGAGAGAGGGAGAGTGAGAAAGCAAGCTGCCAGGGCCAGGACTCAAACCATGGCCAGCCATGTGGGAATTCCAGTACCTTAACCACCATGCCACCTGCTGGCCCACGGCATGTTTTTCACCCCAGGTCTGTAACTCAAAGTGCTTGATTGGCTGTGTGGGATCCAGTCACCCTGACCTCCTTGCCTCTTGCTGGCCCATGATTTCTTTTTCATTGCCAGAGGGTGTGTGTGCTCATTAGAGTAAGAGAAGAGAGGACACTTTCCCCTCCCTTTTTTTTGTATCGAAAGAGTGAGTATGTATGGGAAGTGGATACTTCTGTTTTTTTTTCAGAGATTTGTTATAGGGTCATGTGTGCTCACTAGAGAGATAGAGACAGAGAGACAAAAAGCAAGAAATCACTCCTCGGGGCATAGCCATGCCGCAATCCCTTCTCCATTCTCCTCTTGGGGTTTTTAGCACATTGTCACGTGTGCCTGGTGTGAGTTTTTTTTTTTTTTTTTTTAATGTAAAGAATCATACTATTAAACTTTGTTTATTTTAATTTGACCAGAGAGGAACAGAGTAAGAGTGAGAGAGAGAAAGCAAGCTGCCAGTTCCAGGACTTGAACTGTGGTTGGCCATGTGGGAGTCTAGCACACCTAACCACCACACAATCTGCTGGCCCCTGGCATGAGTTTTAAGCCACTGGGTTTGGGACTTGAACTGTGGTCAGCTACGTGGGAGTCCAGTGATGTAACCACTACACCATCTGCTGGTCCCAAGGTCTCCATGTTGTGATCTTCCTGCTCCAGCCTCTCATTCAGTGAGGACCACAGCACATGCACATCACTGTACCTGGCCTGTTTAGGTTTAAGGTTTGAGTCCTGGTCTCCTCGGCAGGCTCAGCCACTGCATAGCAGCTCCCTTTTGTACTATAGTGGCTGGGCCTGTATTCTTTTTATTCTTTTTAATTTTTATTATTTTTTTAACCATAGGACACATGCTCTCAACAGAGAGAAGCAGTGTAAGAAACCACCACCCCCAAGAGGGATGGCCATACCACAATCCCTTCTTATTCTCCTCTTGGGATTTTGGACATATGCACACACATCCAACTTGGTTTTCAAGCCACTGGATCTGGGGCTTGAACCATGGTTGGCTATGTGCAAGTTCAGCACCTTTACCACCTCATCACCTATTGGCTCCAGTCCTGTATTTTTTCTCCTTTTTTTTTTTTTTAAATGCCAGAGGTCACACACATGTCAGAGACAAGGAGATAGCACCTCCCTGACAGTGGGGCCAAGTGATGATACAATCCTTTTTCCTTTGATTTGCCATCCTGTCAGATTCTTGGCTATCCTGCTTTCAGTGCTGGGACTCGAACCCTGGTCTGCTATGTGGAATCTGGTTTCCTCTGTGTAGTGCTTAACTACTGTAGTATGAGGCCAACCCCACAAGTATTACTTTTTATTTTTTTAAGAATTATTTGGGACCAGTAGTTGGCGTAATAGCTATGTTGCTGGACTCCCGTGTAGTCGACCGCAGTGCGAGTCTGGGACCTGGTGGCTTAAACTCACGCCGGTGCGTGTGCATGTGTGCCCAAGATCCCGAGAGGAGAATGGAGGAGAAGGGATTGCAG